TATCCACTTTTTGTGACTTTGATGTCATTCCCTTCTGTAAAGGTCGAAGTCAGCTAAAGTGCTAATGATAACAATCATAAGCCTGCCATTTGATATAAATAAATAAATACTTCATTCAGCAGTGACACTGTGAGCTCCACAACATCTAGATCAAAGCTCTAGCTAGTCATTAGAGTTAATTTTCCAAACAAAAGCATTAAAAATAACTGTTAGACGTTATTTTAACCAACTCATCCAATTCAATATGATTTATTTATCTTTGTAAATCCTCTGTGCAGTGATATTACGGCCAGCGTTTGTGCCCATCAGCAGGCTCCACGGTTGGTTATATCTGGATACGTAACACCGAATAAAGTCCCGGTTAGTGAACTAAATTGAAAGTGATAAATTATTATTATTGTTAATTTTATGAAATTTGACCTTCATAAATCATATACCACATAGAATTAATTTTCAATTCACGCATCACTCACACAATGACTTCAAAGACCAAGTACCTTGAGTATCTAAAAGGAGGGGTAGTCCTAAACAGTCATCTACATCGTACAAAACTTATTTCCACTTTTAAGGTGAATATTTCATTGACGCTAGCACTAAATCCACCATGAAGCGCGATGTTAGTAAACCTATTGGTCACCCCCCCATCTCTGCCACCCAAAAGTTTTAACTATGTCAAGATTCCCTAAACTTCAAGATAATATTTATTCTAGACGAATTCTTCAAGACTTTCAGAATCAAAATGGTAAATGTGGAGCAGTGGCCAACGTGCCAATGCATCAAGTAAGAGATTACGCGATCGCCACTCCTAATATGATCTGGTAGGGAAATTAAGTCCGTAGAGACACATAATAGAGATGCAGCCACCCCAAGACACTATCTTAACTCAAAAACAATATATTAATAAACACAAGTCGCCTGCAATGTAAGCGGCCTAATTAGGTCAGAAGTCTAATAGAGAAGAGGCGCACAATGTAATGGGATATAAGCACCTGGTCCAATTTCGTCATTACTACTTCCAAGATGTCAGTCGTGATGTATGCCACGTCTTGATAAGATTGAAGGCCAACTTAAGGGCTATCGAGAATCGCTCATCCTGAGACAAACCAGAAATTCTATAGCTTTTACTTACGTTTTTCAGACATTCGACAGTAATTTAATTTATCTCTCAATAAAGGAAGTTATAAATATGAAAGCATTTAAGTTAAGCCATCGAAAAAAAGAGCACCTAATATTTCTTTGGTCTCAAGGAAAACTAATGAAAAACTGGAAGCTACTCAACATCGGTCAAATTTCACTATGTGCGAATTCCATTTGCATTCTATTGCAATCTTTAAACAGCTAAAGACAAATTACTCACAATGTAAAAGCATATCTCCCAGGGTCTCGAGCTCGGACAAATTAACCAACCTCGTTGGATCGTTCGAAGAGGATTGGAAGCAGCGTATCCACCAGCATAGTAGAAAGGTTAAGCAGCTGTACTCAATTTACAATTTATCTTAAGCTGACTCGTACAAGTTAACGAGAAATTGACGGGTGTTCAAGACGTTTGCTAACTTCAACACTGAAACTAAGTTTATTAAATAGAGCTAAATTCCACGATTTATCCATAATTGCAACATCAATTCCTGAAACATGAGAATTTAGCCTCATTATGACAAATACAGAAACGAAAACCCAACTCTGAAAGAACACAATGGCATTAGAGGACTACAGCAAAATAACTGAACTGAGTTCAATTTACAAATATAAAAAAGCAAAACCTCAAACAGATATTAAAAAGACGATATTTGCGAACAAAATGACATTCATATATACAGACTCACAAATAAAAGAATATAAAACTTAGAAAGCCAGTTTTTTCAGCATTAAATAGATGTGCTTTCCAACGCGAAACCCTTGTAGATTGCTCGTATCACCAATCAGCTGCATTAAAAGACCACCGAATGAAACATAGCACGCCAGTCTACTGGTTTCGTCCGATTTGTCGTGGCTTTCGATTCGATAAATCTTTCCATAGCAAACGTAATCGAATTCGGCCATTTTACTGCCATCTAAACGACCCTCTAACTCCTCAGCTGTATCAACATCATCGTCATCATCATCCGCATTGAATCCAGCCGTGTTGAAGAGCGATCTAGTAAGTACCAAACGGAATTTTTCGCCTTTGGTGGCAGGAAAGATTTCGGAATGGACGTCAAGAATAAGACCCATTTTAAAAGATTCACTTTCACAAACTATTCGAGAAACCTTAGCAAACATCTTTCCATCCCTATCAACATCCTTTATATCAAAAATATCTTCGAGTAACGCAGCCATTCAGAAGAGAAAAAACGTGCAGGGCGCAGGGAAATATCTGAAGGTTGGTAATAGTAAAAAGGAAGTAAAACAAATAACTGCTTTAAGAAACGTCGAATAATTTAAGCTGTTGTGATCGAATTTAGTTTTATATGCAATAATAGTAGCAAATATTATTAAATTAAACTAGCCTTTTAAATGAAGTATCAATTGAATATCCTCGAAAATTATTAAAATTAATTATTATTATGCATTTGATCAAATTAATAAGGAATTTACAATTTTTTAATTAAAGAGCATACTAAATTCAACTTTTAATTATGCAATTGTTAATTTAATTCCTTGATATGTTTTCCTTCTGAGATTAAATACAATTCCTCTGTGTCTTAAATTTGTAATTGATGTAATTGTTCGATTTATTATGACTCATAAAGATGGATCTTTGTTTTGTTAACTTTCAATCTCCATCATATTTCCTGACTCTTTTTCTTGATGGTCGTATTAAATCAACTTTCCATTTCTTAAGAATTGGTACACTTGTGTTTTCATTCGACTAATAATAAAATAGAGCAAATATAGCATCATATATTCAGATTGCTTTATATGGGATAGCATCTGATTTATTTATTTCTGTTCTATTTTGAATTAATTCACTCTTTTACTTTGGCTGCACTTTTAATGCAAGCTTAAACATTTTCGAATTATGAAGAACGGTCGTTCTTCCAAGGAGCCTAGATTTTAATAAACAATTTCATATTGCATTTGTATCATTATGACCTATTTAAATTTAAAATTTTCATATTTTGTTTGTTCGCATAATCATTAGTACATAGGTTATTGAACAATGTTGATGAATGCATTTCAAATCGGAGTAAGGAAATATTTTTTCTTAAAATTGGTGTTATTAAATATAATTTTAAAAAAACTTAAGTCATTATTATGTTTATCGCGATATTTCAAGTTTTATTGAGAAATACTTGGTTTTTACAGCACATATTGTGATAATACATAAATTTCTATAAATAAAGTAATTGAAATAGATATGAGCAGTCATATTAGACGATTGCAGTATCAAAGAAAACAGCAAACGCAAACGCAATTCCAGGGGCTGAATATTTCACACGATGGCTTTTTGTCTTTGGGTCGTACTCCGAATTACGAATCACCAATTCCATCCATCGCCAACTCTCACCTTGATGGCATCAGTACCCGTGTTCGACCGACACCAGGTTCAGTTGTGTCTTTTGATCAGCGAAGTTACAGTCGACCGGTGTTTGAAGGCAGCATCATAAGTTTTAACCCTTCCTCAACTGTTGCCAGTAGATCACTACTAGGAAGGCCTTCGCTTTATGCTAAAAGCAGCCTCTATCGCTCAAGAAGTCTCGGTGCATCTAAGGTGAGGTCTCTTTTACAGTGGTTTTACTTCTTTGTGTGCTTCCTTTTCCCACTTTTAGAATGTGAAAACTTTTTTGTGTTCGCGTTTATAATTTCTTTGAAGTGATAAAACTTGACTTCTATTATTGATCCAGTGCTATAAAGAATTTCTAACACTCAATATTCAGAATCCTCAATGATTATAAAACACTAGCACATCTGTCTATTATATTGGCAGTTATATGTGAACAGCGCCACGAAAATTTTAAGAATATGAGAAATGTGGACTTTATTATGGTCTTTTTTATCTATACTTATTACTCCATTAAAAAGACGGCTCTACCAAATATTATGTTGTTATATCTTCGTTAGTTTATATAATTATCTTCATAAGAGGGTATCGTTAAAATATTAAATATACATTATGTTTGTGACTATTTTACTTATTTTTGCTGAATATTGTGGCGTTGTAGAGTGTTTTAAGACATAATGACTCACTAATATTATTCAAGACTGAACCGCTAAGCAAAATGTTGTCTAGCGTAATTAATATAATCATACAGCTCAGAAATGAATGATAAAATGTTTCGAAAGTGGTCAAGAAGTTCCACCCTCAATTACTTCAAAACTAGATGTCTGACTTAGTTTTTGTTTAATTTTTCCCCTGATTGAATCATAATATTAGCTAATTAAAGCACCACTACAGATTTTTCGTGATCATTTTACAAACTCACCTTCTCAGTCTTTATTAAATTCGGTGTTTTTAGATGTCATTTTTTCACCATTCCTTTTGCACTGCGACAGGTGTTGGATAATGTCTGGGACAAATTTTTTGTGCAATATCACAAAAGACCGTTAATTATCTTTTTCCAGATGAGCTTGAGTTACTCTACTTTAATTTTCAGAAAATTCGCTATCATAGGTCTACAGTTCAATCAATATTTTAAACAAGAGACTAATAAAAGTAACTCCAAACTCGTCCAAAATTGAAGTAATGTGAGGGACACTGTATTGGTTTTGAGGAAATGCCTCAAAAGAAGATGGACTTTTACTGTACCTTTTTTTAATGTGTGGCTTTCATTAATTCACTTTTAAATTTACATTTTGCTAATATTTAAAAAGGCCTCTTTGGCGACAATTCACAGCGGAAGGTCAACAATTCAGGCTGAGCATCACGATCGAAAGGTTCAGCTCCTCATCAATGCAGTAGATTTTCGTCGGGCAAAGAAGCCTTACTTCTGGTCAGTCTTCTTCTTTACTCTCTTCCTTTTCACGCTGTTTTTGGGACTCCTAATCATCTGTCTTCGACACGTCTACATGAATCTTATTCTCTCAGTCGATATTGGAGAATCTATTGGACCACTCCTTTGCGGACTCTCTTTTCTCTTCCTTGGAGCTGGATTCAAATTCCTTTACGATGCTTACCAGACTGGAGCCAAGGAAAGGATGAAGATTAAAGTTAGTCGATCTTATCTTTGGTATAACTGAGTTAGTTCTAGACTTGAAGAGGAGAATAAATGAAGTTAATTGTAGGTGGGTAACTGAGAACGAGTATCGTATGCTCTTTTCTTTGCAATGGTAATCGATTTAGCATGAATTATTTTGCGATACCCTCTAAGAGTTCGATATTGTTCAATTATTCCATTTCTGTTGAGGTAAATGGCAAATCTCACTGAGATTAAATATATATTTATCCGAGAATAGAAACTCTGCTCCGGTGTTTTATCTTGTGTAAAAGGCATTTAACCCTTAAAATGTAATAATAAACGGAAAGTGACAAACCTGTGTCACTAATTTTTCATTAGTAATTTGTTACAGGTCGCTTATCGACGAACAAAGCGCATCCCTATGGTCTTCCACTTGGCCTGGTATATCACTACAAAGGTTCTATTTGCTCAGAACTGGCGTCTTTCTTGCTTATCATAATTCCCAGTTCCATTTCCATCCTCAGTTTCTTTCTCATTCCTACCCAATTGTTTACTATACGCACTGTCCTACTTAATTCTATGTGAGGAAATGACAACGATACACTGAAGGCTTGTGATATAAAATACGTGAATAGACTAATCACAGTTATCGACGTTCTTTACATATATTTAGTTGTTCGAATTCCATCGGAATTAGGTTTCACAGCTCGAGAAAGCACAAATCAAACTTCCTAAGTCTTTCAGCTTAGGATCCATCAAAGTCTCCTTAGGCACATACTTTCAAGTCATGAAATGAATCTGTTGATCCTGAAATGTCATCCATTTAATTGCACTTGAGTAAAGAAAGAAATAATAATTAGACGAAGCAAGCTGATAATTACCTAGCAATATTTGTGAGTTTGAGTCCATGGGAAAAAAGGCGAAAAATGACTATCGACTTTCAGATGGAATTAAATTAGATTATGGCTTGGTTTTAAAGATAATCGTTTCCACCCATTGGTTCCTACTACGTCTTTTCTGGCCTGAGATACTTGTGGGAGAAAAGTCGCTCATCATTCTTAAACCAGTCTCTCCTTTTCGGCAATCTTTTCACACCTTGTGCCGTACACAATTACTCGGCTTTACATATGGAACACGACAGTTATTCCGACCACTGTTTAATATATATGACCAATATTAAAAATAAATAGCCACAGGAGTATTTAAGCTTATTCAGTGTTTTCCTTCCTTATGGTAATCCAGACCATTGAAATAAATTAATGAACTAAAAAAGAACGTATTTTTATATTTTATTTCTTTGTTTAAGTATGTTCCGGACAGTGCATACACCGTTGCAGTCAAGGCCTCTGCTCCACCTGCAGTTGATACAACGTAAGTTCTCCTTTTTCACCAAAAGAAGTCTCCTCTGAATTGTCTGAATGCTCACTAAAGGATCTGCTTGGCCATTTGTAGGGAAGAACTGGTGAGTGGAAAGACAACCGATAAGGCATTGACACGGGCTCCAATTGAAACAAGAACGGTGAATGCTTCAGTCATGCCATTTTGAAATTAGTCCATCAGTTACTAATCCTCTTCAATACTAGTAGTTTTTTTTAATTTTCTAAGAAATAAACATGGTTTTCTTCCTTATTAAGTAAATTCCAAACATATTTAAAGAGAATTGTAATTAAACGAGCACCAACACGAAAAATTGGTCAGCTTAAATATGTTTTAGGGATTTAGTTTATTGAGTGGGGACTTTTCTCTAGTACGAAATTAAGAGCGCCTATTGAGGCATTTTCGTATAAGTTGGGGATTATGTTGTGGTCTACAGTTCAAATAAGACGCCCAAAGGTTTATCAAGCGACGGTCGGGCCAAAATGTTGCATGGCTTCTAGCTTCTTTTGCCTTAACAGTATAACGATGAAAAGAGAGGTAGATGGTGAATAACACCCTCCAACAGTAAACTCATAAAAGCCGAGCATAAAAATGACCAACATATCCCAATCTAAATCAAACAATCTTTTTCCAAATCAGCAATACTTATTATCTCTCGATTGTAAACACGCTGATACATTCAAAGCATTAAGTAAATAGGGTGGTCGGGAAAATGAATGGAAATAAGCTACTAAGCAAGTCTCAGGAGGGGATAAGCCTTGCTGAGCAAATGCTGAAACTCGAAATGCACAGGATGAAATGGATGCGTTTGCCTTATTGTTGGATCCTCATCATTATTTCTGCTTCGTGATGGACGCTTTTCGGGTCTAGCAACCAGCAGTCGACAGACAATCTCATTATTCTTTGCCAGGTGGTCCAATTGTGCCAGATCATCCACTGGACCCATAAAACTCGACGTCAAGGTGGGAATATTTGCTGCATGAATCCATTGTCTGGCGATGCCAAAGACCTTTCCAGCCATTTCAAGGAGTTCCTTTGAATCGGCTTCAGAGAATATCTCGCTGGTCACATATTCATGAGTCGAATCAAAGAAGCTGTCAGCTGTCTCATTTCCAAGAAGAGGGGAGAATTTGGAATCAATAGCGGGACCCATTCTGCGGAGGAATTGAGTTTTCAGGGATGAATACACTTTCGTTGTTGATTGATCAAGGGGTTTCATAGTCTTTATGTCAATTCCTATGTCCCTTTGAAGTGCCCTTAGAATATAGAGAGTTCCAAGACTCAAAAAGCGATGCAGATTTGCTTGAGCTATCTACGAAATAAAGGGAGTTAAATCGTGCAATTAAAATCACAAACCATCGTAAATCAAACTCACTTGAAACCCCCAGTACTCACAACTAACTGGAGATAAGTTGAAGAGCTGTGAGAGAGGTGTTTGTCTAGACTTGTTAGAAACCGTGGAACCGTTTAGATCCCTTTTTCGACGTCGTTTTTTTGAATTATTCACTGCTGATCCAAAAGAATTATTTGCTTGCCCCACTTTTCCATCAGGAGGAAGAGAGTTGATGCCTTTTGCCATGTGGGTGACGAAGGCGCTAAGATTTCGCTGGAGGGTGATGATGAGTGCGTAGACATAAACCCATTCACGTGGGGCGTAGAGGTCCAACTGGAAACCAGTGATCAGATAATCCCACACGAGGTGATAGTAAAAAAAGCAAATGTAGGAAGTGATGTGAAGAGGAATTTGGGTGCTATTTGAATTCGGAGTTTGTGCGTCTTCTAAGAAATGCTGGGAAAAAGTCGCCTCGATGCTGATGCTTTCCTCAATGAGGTTGTTAAGATCTTCAAAGAGACGTGAAATATGAGTTCGCTGACGAGAGCGATTGAAGGTGTAGCATCGACATATCTACAACATAGAAGTATTAAAATTTCAAATCAACCATTAATTATCACCACAATATGCTTATTTCAATTCAAAATTTGACGTTCGGCAAATAGAAATTTGGACTAGCTGATCCTGACCAAGAAAGTTAATCTAAAAATTGAGCTGAGCATTGAATAACACCAATTCCAGAGTAAATTCCTTAAACCCCTCAAATTCAAGAGCATAAAGCCGTAATCCGACTGCACCCAATCTTACAAATAAACCAATGAAGTTAACTACGAGCGCGAGAAAGGAGCAAACTCTAACATTGAATTTTTCCTTGAACACCTAAAAACCAGTCACAGTAGAACTAAGTTTTGCTAACAGTCCTTCAACTACATGAACACTTTCTTCCCATAAATTGGCGACAAGATACCATTATCTGTTCTTCCCCTACAGTATCTGAACGTACTTCCCGAAAGTATTTTTGATTTAGGGTTATAAAGCATTTTTGCCTCGAAGTAACCAAATTATCCTACCAACTATTTAATACGACATGGAATGAATTGTAATAGCTTGATACCTTTTCCAATTTATTTAGCTTAATTGAAATAATCCCTATACGAACATCTTATAAGTGAACTAAGGCGAACAAAAGAATCATCTTTGCTAAAAAACGAATCTTAAAAAAATAAGACGTACAAAGACATCCAAACTGTTTAGATATAGTTACATATGGCAATGACAACAGTCCCGAATTTAAAGACAAAACCAAAATAGTAAGATATAGACGACAACTAAAAGAAACTAAGAAATGCAGAAGGAATAAATATGATCACTCCAATAAGGGAAGCAAAAAATAAAAACGTTCTCACAAGTAAAAAGGTAAGAAGTTAAGGTTGGGAAATCTACAAATTAACATTTTTAAAAGCATTGAAATGTCAAGTGGTTACCTTGTAAAGATAAACAAAAATGTTTTCAAATAAATATTCATAGTTCCCGATAACTTGAGCATTATCAATAATGCGATCACGAATCCACTTTGGTTCTACAGCCAACCAGGAAGCGAGAAGGTGCATAACAGAACTGGAAGGTGACAGCACCTCCGAAATGCGGGGATCAACTTTCACTGGACATTTGAATAAAACTCCCATCATTACACTCATGACTCCTCTTGAGAGAGCACACGACTTCAAACTTGCATCCTTAATCTCCAGGGGGTTTGATAATTCATCTTTCCGAAATAGACAGTGGCAAACGTTATGTCCAAGTCTATGTGAAACTGAACATAATTCATGGAGAAAGACAACGTTGAGGGAATTTGAATTGATTATTCTCTTCATTTCATCAATCACTTTAATCACACGAGAGAAAGCGCAAGCAAGAAAAGAGAAAACTGACTTTCTGTTGAGAATGCGGGGAAACCGCTGCACAGTAGCAGCTAAATCAGAAAGTGTAAGATAGGGTTCGAAACCAGGAATTGAGTAGAATTCAGATTTAGGATTTATTTTCCCAGGACCTGCATCTTTACCATGATCAGCCGTCTGGAGAAGGGTTTTAGCGACCTCAGAGATCTCTGATGAAATTGAAAGAACTTTATTACAATGAAATGTGAAGATATCAGGAGTCAACTCAACAACTTTGATTGGTTTGTTTTGATATGAGTAGGCTACTTCACCGAATTCCTTTAACTCTGGATTTTCATAGGCTTCTTCCACATCTTCGTCCGCCAAAACGATCAGAAATTCGGAAAAGTCTAATTCGAATTTCAATAAAAGTGTAACTAGCTTCAAACGAGCACTTAAAATGGTTTCAGATGTGCCAGATTGCAATAGTTTTTGCTGCTGGGATTCCAGTAAAGCAATCAGTTCATCATTGGAGAAATCAAAATAAGAATTCGAAATTTTCTTCTTTGGATACATACCCTTCGTATTAACAGTTAAGGGGATTTTATTCTGAGCTGGGCAGAAATCTTCATCTTCAAAGGATGGTAATGTGAGTAGTACACGACGAAAAAAAATTATATTCCGTCTTAGAGCCTCACAGAATATGGCCAGATTCTCATCCTCAATGTATGGAATACAATGCATATACATGCAAGTATAAACTGTTTGTATTAGAGGGTCACCAGTTAGCCAATTTACAAAAAGCACAATGAGCTCATCGATAACAGCCAAAAGCACTTCTTGGTCTTCAAAGGGCCCCAGCGGAAGATCACCGCTTTCAATGGCTTGACGAAGATTTGCCACTTTTCGTGACTTTGTCATACCTGAGTCCATGCTGGGGTTCATAATGTCAATAGCAGACATCGCATAACGCAAATTAAAGAATGACTCATGGGCCATTTCCCCAGGTCCTAAACAGTTTTTACAGGCATCGAAAAATTTTTCCGTAATATCTTCATTCTCATTCATATTTACAAATATACACAAGATGAAAAATGGAAATCTCGAATATCAACACAAGAATGTAACAATTGCACACTATCTTAAATTTCCGCGTTAATACTCATTCTTGATTTAGGTTTCCAATACTGTAGATATTTATAATTGATTGAATCTGAATAATTTCTTAAATAAAAGTTTACCCAGCTTGGTTTAAGTGAATGTAAAACTATTATTATTTTATAATAAAATGTATTTTTAATAAAAGGCATGATACAAGAATTTCTAGCTCCTTAAAAATGAATTTTTAAAAAAATGCTCTTCGATTTTTACTTCAGAAATCTTTCATACGAATAGATAACGCTTTTTTAGATCTCGGTAGTGAGTTTTAACATTGAAATCTTAGCGAATATGGAAAAAAGTGTGGGGGGAAATACAGCGAATATTATGTTCCGAATATGGGGTGTGCGATAGACTTACCTCCACGTGGTGCACCCTGGGCAACGTATACTCATGCGGCAAAAAAGTCTGTTAACTGGCAGTTGACTTCTCACTTCAAACTACCATCCCCTCACTCTATGCCATATTCGAATATTTTCACAGCACTCACCTCACCTTTTCCCTACCTTTGTGTTTGTCTCTTACATCTTTGAAACACTCTTCTCTTCCCTCCCCCCTCTCGACTTTTTTCAATTTGATGTTCCTCCCTCCCCTCTGTGAAGTCTGAAGTCAACTAAAGGGCTAATGATAACCATCAAGACGCCTGCCATTTGATATAAATAAATAAATGTTCCAAATATGGACAAATTGATAGCATAACATTTGTACAATGATGGCTTATGGAGATCTGATTAAATGAGTCATCAAAACTTTATTAACATATAACACAATTTTTTATTTATGTCAACAGGCCTGACCAGATGCTATTTTGAACACACTTTCTGAACTCGAATAATGAAACTATCATGCAAATGTATTTCTTACGGTTTGCAGATTAAACTTCAATTATCTGAATTGCTGCATCATATTTATTTAAATTTGATTTGGTGAATTACCAATCTGATGTTATGCGAAGCTAAAGGGCTGTTTGACCAAAATGGATGTATTTTTCAAGTATGGGCTGCAGATATGTTAGTCAAAATTACTCTCGGGCAGTTTCATAGAATCCTTGCGTTTTAATACTGTCTTAGTACTTTACAATTGGCAGAGAGAAAACAACTTTATTTTCCAATGTATAGATCATTTTTTCATTGATCAATTTGAAAGATCCACCTGTTTTTACTTGTGGCCTTTGAGTCCTTTTACAAGGAAATGAAGATCTATTTCCAACAAGACAAGAGTAGAAAATTACAATCAAGTAAGATATTTTTGATTAGGTAAAAATAGCTTTCCTTTTTACCTCTCTTTGCAAGAACTTACACTGTTTCTGAATGTACTGTTAATGTACTAATGTACTATTATATTCATGTTTTTAAAAAATAAAATACTAGGAAATCTGTCCGCTTCTTTAAATTCTAATACACAAATCAAGAAAATTAGGTAAATATCTGCAGTTAAATAATGAAAATTTGAAGCGATTAGAAAATGTGCTTGCACAATTATGAAATTTAAAAGGATATTGATATTGATTTAATGAAACAGTTTCTGAATTCGACCTAATTATACTGAGGAGAAAATATATAAAATCACCAGTTTTTATTTTTAATATATAACCGAAATCTCCCTTTTGCCAGCTTTACTGGATGTGCTGATTCTCGGTGAAAATGCGCTAAATCACTTTTGAAACTCAATCAATCAAAATATGACTGGGGCGCTGAGTGGCTTTCTGTTTCAAGTCGTTATGGGACATAAATCTGATGCAAACTGACTTAGATGATAATAATTTCTGCGAAACTATAGAATTTAAGTATTTTATGTGAATCCCCCCCCCCCCCCCTCCCCGAGTCCTTCGCCCACTGGATCGCTCCCTATGATTAAACAATAAGCGATCGCTGATTTATATTTACTTTAATATTGACCAGATTTCCAGATTGTACTACCAAATGCACATCTGGCAGATGTTTTGAATAATGGGTACTTCAAAATGTTTGTACACTCGCCGCTATTTTATAAAATGAATGAACTTTTAAGTTGGAAGTTTGAAAACGCTTCCTTAAACGGGCTAGCAATTTATTGCTTCTAATATTTACCAATGGTATTTTGATGGCAACCGATAACACATATTGGTTGAGAGCATTACTATCGATTACACCCAGGAAAAGCATTTTACTATAACCATAAAGATCTACTAAAGGTTTCCAACTCGACAAAAAGATTTTATTTAATGTTTATGCCTACCTCACGACAGTAATTCACTTCTCTTTTCTTTTAGTTAGTCGTTAACCGTTGAAGCGTTTTTACCATTTTGATTTAACAACATATATATTTGTCTTAATTGCTGAGGAAATAACAATAAAAAGATCATTTGGATGAATGTGACAATATTTATTAAGCTTATTGTTCAAGTAAAGTATGTCATTCATCTTAAGACTGGCTAGAAAAGATGGACAATGAAATATTTGCATGGTTTCTTTCAGTTTGCCAAGCATAGCTAAATTGGAATACTAGTTATATGAGAGGTTAAAAGATTTCTTAAGTGTTTGTCTCTATTCCTATAAAAAATCAAATTTCATTCATTATCCTAACACCCTGTAGGATTTCCTCAGATTTCCTTTTGAACCATTCTGGAGATTAAACATAAACAATAAAGAATTTAGGAGAGGATTTAAACATTAAAGATGTTAACTACTCATCGGTCGACAGATGTTATTAATGTTCCCAAGGTTGGGAACACTTTGTCAACACGACTGCCAATGACGTAGTGACTAATACCTTTCTCCCTTATCCCCATTTATCATCTCTCCATGTAGTCAGTTGGAAAATCACTTTAATATATGCACTTATTGACTGCTCTAGCTTAATTTGCTAATAAAAAACTGGTTAAACAGGAACAGTGGCAATGTGTCTAAATTATTATTTATGAATTTAGTTGTACAATGGGCACAATTACGCTTATGAAAGCCCACTTAGGTAGAGGTGGGATTAAAGTGAATTTCGAATTTCAGGTGCGCCACGATTAGTACCTTTCGGTGGGCCTCCGGCGAATTGGTTTCTGAATGCTTTCCTTATCAAATTAAATGCTATTAACGACTCACTTAAGTGATTAAAAAAGTTCTAAAAAGAAAATAACTTTGAACTGGTTTTCAAAATGGATGGGCATTCGCACAACTGACTTTTCAACAATGAAGGTAGTCCGAGTAATCTATGACAGACATGCATCGTGGCAACTGTGATACTGACACACACTAAAACCGTAACGACCATTATTTTCTTTAATAGAATGCGTTCAATCCGGACTAAAGTTGTATAGCTTTAAAGCAAAAATTTCCGATAGAATGAAATTTAAAATTTCATTAGAAATAATTTTGGGTTTAAGAGTTAAAGTCGCGTACCGTGAACAAAGATTTTTGTGATATCTCCCCTATATTTTGACACAAGCATGGAACTCAGAGTGCAAATGGTTTTCAAACTTTTCCACACTCTCCTCCCTTGTGGCACTAGAGTGCCTTTTTTAAAATAAGTCCATCCAAATCAGGTAGCACAATAAATTCTGATTGGCCATGATTGACAAATGTCTTGCCTGTGTTATTAATTACGGTATTGATTATTACAGTCTTGGTATGTAAAATCTCGAACCACCTCGAAAGCAAATGAACTAGGATTAGATAGGATAATCCTGCCAACACAAAGATCGATGGGAGACCAGTGAAAGGCATTTTGAGAGCACTTTAAATTCTTATAGCAATAAAGTGCAGTATCACTCTCAATTTGTGCAACCAATCTTGACACTGCTCCATTTAAGATCGATTTCCGCAAGTTCTTTGCTTTATCATCGATCATAACCGAATTTCAATGAAGGCGAACGAGCTTTAGTTTAGCTGGAATTTAATTGCACTGACTGATACATTATGAGGAATTGATCATGGTTGATGATTCAGTTGAAGTTAAAACAGACAGGATGTGGGGTCTGATTGCTTTTGGACTCACTAGACGCAGAGACGTGTAATGCTTGAACAAGCTGAGCATGGAAGATAGGATAGAGCACGTGAGATTCGTTGCCTTTGCGCAAAGTATGACTGGTAGATGAAAGTTAATTGGCGTCTAAGCTAGTGATGCAATAGAAAGTACCTTAGAGATGACAGGAACAATCAGAAATTGCGTAGAATTTGTATAAAAATTTAAAGAAACAGTAGCTGGAGATGTGTAAGAAAAATTAGGAAGCAGTTTAGTCCCAATATTTTGCCGAAAGTACCAGTGTTTCTCATCTTACTTCCATCTTCAGAGTCGATGACACCGGGACTTCACACTTATAATATGCTCCATCTGATTAAAATAGGTCTGATTTTGAGCAAAAGTAAGAGCATTTAAAACGTGCTCATCTCCAGTAAAAGCTGGCTTCGAAGTTTAAAAATATTTTTAAATATCTCTTGGTGGTAACTTTTGTTCCATACCTTTGTAAGCGGACAACTTCATTTTTGAGTTCAAAGGAAGAATTTTATGAAATTCTCAAAGTTAAAAGCAACTTTTGGTGAAAGTAAGATTAAATTTAGTCATTATGAGTGGGTATTCCTTTTCCGCACAATGCAGGACGTATAGATAGTTTATCAGAGCAACTTAAACTACCGCATTATAAAACTTTTCATATAATCTTGTATAAAGGTAAAATAAACCGAATTATTCCAAGTGGCCCTGGGAAACCAATTTTGTTTCTTTTCCGTTTAGTGATCAAAATACGGGCAATATATATTTAAAATGCCATTTTTTATCATTCTATTTACACAAAACAAGCATATTTACCTATCTAGCTGGGAATAGAAATGAAAATATACTTATAATGGTCTTGAGCGCTCATGTGTCTACCAAACTACCTACACACGGATTCAACCCGCTTTCAAGCCTGTCTCGGATTTACAATCACTAATTTAATATGA